TTTTTATTATATATTATACGGACTAGATTCAATTAAAAATTGAATTGGACTTTTTTTTATGCAATACAAAAACAAAACATATTTTAACCACACCAACTACGTTTAAGTTGTCAGTCCTAAGTCTGAATAAAGTGGGAAGRAAGTTTGTGTTTGACAAGGCTGAGCATTAACGAATTAAAAGTTAAAATTATAAACAATTTATATAAACACTATTATGTGTCTGAAATTTTTTATTTTGAAAATTAGAAAATGTTAACTTTAACTTAAATTAAGTTACTTTTCTTTGCCTAGCCTTGGTGTTTGGTATAATTTTTTTTCGTGTGGGAACTTACGTACAAGTGTAATTTTTTTCGTGTGGGAACTTACGTACAAGTGTATTTTTTTTCGTGTGGGAACTTACGTATGCATACTCAGGGGTAATTTTTACCTGCTACATCTCGTGTGGGAACTTACATTCGCCCAACTGGGTCGCTTTCCCAGCTGTTATCCCCCCTTGCCCGACCGACGATCGGTCACTCGRCGGATCCACTCTTCGGCGCAGCGAGTATGCTTCTCTTATTCGTGCCCCCCACCCCCACTACTTCGAGAATGGCCACTCAGGACCTAACTAACTCCAACAAGTGGATAATGGACTGATATTCCGTTGTACTAATCGCGTCGAATATTTTACGATTATGAACGGAAAAGCACTGTAATGCCATAGTAATTAAGATAAAAGAACCTATATCTAATATTTTGAGTGTATTAATTAGTTAAAGGTTCTCATGATACGTACATAAAAACTAAATATATAGTACAGGGATTCGTGAGTCTTAGGAGACGTATTCAGCAATTTCTCAACAAGAGATGTGGCTACTAKAATTGTGTGAAGAATTATATTTATGGACTAATAAATACATAAATACAATTTTGCAATTTGTTTTAATAATGCTTATTATAATAATGAATCATTTAAATTCACTGTCCTCCGGTACGTCCGGTTCAACAATCCATGTGATAAACTGAAAAAATGTACAAAGTATTATAGTTAATTGCTGGATTGCTAAGTTTTTAAAACCAATCGGCTCCACCTGAATCGCATTTCTAACAAACACAATTTTCTCTAACAAAATATAATACAGTGTTGGTAATATTTTTAATGTTTACTGATTAAATTTATATTCACGTATTATAGCAACGAGCATAATAACAAGGTTTATCTTTTATTTATATTTTATAGATATCAATCTCCGTTCAAGTATGTCGGAATTGAGATTTGAGATTCAATAATCTTATCAGAATCTGTAATTGTAAGTACCAGTGCTGGAATAATGTTTCAGTCAAAATTCCAAGGTCCATTATTCACTGCGTACTTTAGCGTTGGCAGCAGCCCGCTGGAAAATTGGGCCGTTCAGGTGCGTGTATAAATTAGTCTGTTAATACATTAATCCGTAATCGTCTACTAAGTAAAATTCAATTTAAAAAAACATATTCTACTCGTCACTTGTATTGTGAAACAAACGATAAATTCAGAATAAAATATATTTATTATCTACCCAATATTATAACAAATTTTAAATTATCAACTAATTTACGATTGACTCAAATTTTATGTAGATCATCAAAACATTTATGTGATAATCCTGATTAAAACATGGTAAACTCAATCTAAATATATTAGTCTTGTATACTGCATTGTAACCATTTTACTACATTAGGGTCGCGACACACTACAGCGGTTTTGACGCGCGGTGAAAACGCGCGAGCACCGCGCGTCGAAAACGCGAGATGGAAATGCATACATGTAAATGGAGTACGTCAGACTAGCGCGGTTGTGACGCGCGTCGTCGCGTGACACCGCTATCTGTCGCGGTTTTGCGTTTTGAACGCGTTGACGCTTGGAACTGTAACACATTGTTTTTATATGGCATGCGACATACCACAACGGTTACGACGCGTTTAAAAACTCGTTTTTTTTACCGTTCTTACCAGTTTTTTACTAATTGATTGATAATCGATATAAYTCATTTGAGTATATCAATATGATTGACATTGATATTTTGATAAACGAAGTGGAGAAGRAAGAATGCCTATGGAATATCAATAATAGTAGTTATATGGACAAACATTGCAAAACAAAGGCCTGGATAAATGTAGCCAGTGCTGTATTAAAAAATTGGGATACATTTTCAAACATGGAGCAAGAATCTTACGGTAAGCATAATTAATTTTAATGTTTCTATGCAATTTCTATTTCTATTATATATATATATATTATATTATAAAGAAAATAATAATAATACTTTTAAAATAATTAAATAAAACAAAACATAAGTATAGCTATGTAATTTTTGAATGGCTGACATAAATATTTTAAATTTGTACGATCTATGACTAAATCTATAATTATGAAGGCAAAGTACGAGTAGGTTGCTGAATGTCGACAACGTGTTGATACTGGGGTCGAACGTGTATTAAAAATACGTAGTTTAAAAATTACTTATTAGTGTAAAATATGATCGTCTGAATTTATTTTCTACTATATTAAATATATAAAATTATAATTTTGATGTTATATTAAAAAAAAAAAATTAGAAGTAAAAAAAAAAATCAAAAAAATCGRTATTGAAACGGGACTGCTCCTGCTTCCATAAAATATTCAGCAAAATATTCACGGACATCTAATCCTTGTTGACGAGCTCCAGAATTATTTTCATTTTGAATGTCTTCCAAAGAGTTTGAGAGGGTGTCTTCGAAGTTATAACCATCCCTTCGTCTAACATAATTATGTAAAATACAGCATGCTTTTATAACGTCGTCTGCAAAATCGGGTTCAACTAGAATAGCACTATGTAGAACACGCCATTTATTTGCGAGTATTCCAAAAGCGCATTCTACGTACCTTCGAGCTCTTGATAGACGATAGTTAAAAATTTTTCTTTTTTGTGTGAGACCTCGTCCAGGGTATAATCTTAAAAGATGTTAGTGTAGGCCGAAAGCTTCATCACCAATTACCACGAAAGGCTGCGGAAAATTGTCTGTATTTGGAAGAACAACAGGTGCTGGTAGATTTAATTGTTCAAAATATATTTTTTTTCCAAATGGAAAATTTTTGAAAATTGTAGAATAACCCTCCTTACCATATGCACCGACATCGATTGAAATAAAGCTATACTCTGCGTCCACTACAGCCATCAATACAATGGAAAAATACTTTTTATAGTTGTAGAACATTGATCCGGAATTAATGGGTTTAATACAACGAATATCTTTGCCATCGACTGCCCCTACACAATTTGGAAAGTTGGTTTTCAAATAAAATTTATTGGCTATTGCCTTTTTCTATCCATTGGTCTGGATTAGGCTCTGGCATTTCTTCAGRCTGTAGGGTGTTCCATAAAACCTGACAAGTTTCTCTAATAATATTTCCTATTGTACTTCGTCCCAACAAAAATTCATACTGTAACGCCACAAAAGTTGTTCCAACTGAAAGATATCTGAAATAATATATAATTTTCAATATAATATAATATAAATAATATAAGTACTAAATTATATTATATCATATATATTATATTATATTATATAGGAAATATCATATAATTTTATGTTTTTTTCTCAACATCAAATAATATGTTTAGAGTTATTAGAGTACCTAATAACATTTCCTATAAAATTTTATTGACATTTATAGAATAAAAAACTAAAAAAAAACGGGAAATTTCAAACGTCTATTAATAACTTAAACATTGTTGAAATATTTTGAAAATTTTACCAAGTATAGGAATTGATNGTATTACAACTAAAAATCACCCAAAAATCGTATCTACAACAAATAGATATGGTCTCGAAAAAAATAAACCAATAGAGATAAAGGACTACAATGATTTTATGAGTGGTATAGATCGTTCAGATCAGATGGTAAGCTATTACTCGTGTCCCAGAAAAACCRCTAGATGGTATAAAAAGGTGCTATTTCATTTGCTCGATATATCCACCTGGAATTCATATTTTATTTTTAACAAAAAGTTTGGTGTARCAAACGTTACCTTTAAGCAATTCCGTGATTTACTCATAAAAAATTTAATTGGTCTTCCAATCGAAACTACCGCAGCAGAACTTTTCAAAAACAAAAAAAGCAAAAAAGTAGCACCTGAAAATAATCATTACTCAGAAAAAATACCTCCTCCACCAAATTTTAAAAGAGAAACATACTTTAAAAACTGTAAGCAGTGCTATAAGACGAAAATAAGGAAACAAACATCATTCCAATGCAAAAGTTGTGGTAAACCTTTATGCCCTGGTAAATGTTTTGAAGAATGGCACAAGRATAATATTATATAATATATATTATAATGTATTTTTTCTCATAAAATGTATAAAATCTTTTCAAAAAGTAGTTGCATATATTGTAAACAACTAATTATTAATAATAAAAATATATTYTGATAAGTTATAAAATAGGTTTTGTTATAATTTCAATATTAGTATTTTTGTAATGCTAAATAAATTATTACTGCTCTAGCAGTAATGACCTATGGCGTAAAAAATKTATACGTGATAGGTCATTACTGCTATGGCAGTACTAAAATATTACTGCTATAGCAGTAATATAAAAGTGATTCTCTAAGGTAGGTACTTRAATAATATTAAAATGTGAAGTGACCACGAACGTGTTAATGTCTGATATTAAACTTATTTCCAGAAATGTATAAAATGCTAGAGCCAGTTGTTATCCAAAAATACCAAAGTCAAGAAAAGAAGTTCATAATACTTTGWGTTTAATTAATGTAGAAAYAAATAGAGGTGAAAATTTTATTTTTGATAATGACAGTTTAAATGAGATAATATTATTTTCTTGTGATACTAATATTGAATTTTTGAAAAAACTGGAAATAGTTTACATGGATGGCACTTTTAATTATTGTGATAAAAATTTTACTCAACTATATACAGTTCATGGTTTAAAAAATAGTATTTATATTCCATTAATGTTTTGCTTTTTACCGGATAAAACATTGAAAACATATACTGAATTATTAAACAAAATGAATGCAGTCGGAATAAACCCAAATAAATTTGTCTTAGACTTTGAGATATCAATGCACCAAGCAATAAATATTATATTTCCTACAGCAAAAATATGGGGATGCCATTTCCATTTAGGCCAAGCTTGGTATAGGAAAATTCAAAGCTTAGGGTTTGCACAAGACTTTAATTTTGCAAATGATGAATTAGGAAAGTGGCTGTTACATTTATTCGGTTTACTATTTCTTAATCCAATAGAAGTTGGAGATTGTTTTGTAGATAGTTTCATGGCTGAAAAACCAGAAAATAATAAAATAAATGAATTGTGCGATTATTTAGTAACTCATTACATACAAGATACCAGTACGTTCCCCCCTAGTATTTGGGCTAGTGCTAGTTCTGATACAAGCCTTACWACAAACGCTTGCGAAAGTTTCCATTCTGAATTCAATTCAAATTTTTATCATCATCATCCTAATATATTTAAAATAATAGAAGTTTTAAAAATGTTTCAAACAAATACATATATAAAGATGAGAACATCAAATTTAAATAGACCTCAAAAAATAAGTAAAAAAACGGAAGAAAAACAAAACTATATAAATAATAAAATATCAGATTATAACTCAAAAAAAATGATACAGTATGACTATGTGAAGTGTTTGAGCTTTCGCAATAAACCAAATAAAATTTGATTTTTTCTATTATTATTTTTATTTTATACATATACAAATATTATACACATTATATTATTAATTTTTATTATATATTATACGGACTAGATTCAATTAAAAATTGAATTGGACTTTTTTTTATGCAATACAAAAACAAAACATATTTTAACCACACCAACTACGTTTAAGTTGTCAGTCCTAAGTCTGAATAAAGTGGGAAG